AAAGGGGAGAATTCAGATTAATTCTCCTCTCTTTTGTAATCGAGAATTCAAATTGTAATTAAGATTGAGAGAATACAAATCAATTTTTTTTCATTTTACTTACTTCAAATTTTCCACCAAACAAGTGCGTATAAATACCCTATCTACTCCTACTTTGGTGCCCTTTCTGAATTCATAGCCTAAGAAATTTTAGTGCTTTTCTTCTTTCAAGCTCTGATCATCTACTTCTAACCATCAACTTTGATCATTCTACTTTGTTGACTTCTAATGCCAACCTTCTGCTATCGCAATAAGGATAGGATCTCGTTGCTCTACCATTCAAATCGTCGATGCTCCGGGCTAACGTTATGCAATGGGTGGGAACGTACAACATCCCAATTCTTTCACGCATTCTGTTCTGATGACTAATTGGTGTCCATGTATTGGCACCATCTGATTTTAGTCTTTGGCCTTCCTCTAATGCTATCCTTACCCGGCTAACTGACCAAGTAAACTTCAATCTTTTTATTAGAAGATTTTTTGGTTAGGAGCTCGTCTAGTTGAGTCCAAGCTTAATCCTAAAATTTAAAGTGATTGACACAAAGTGACTGCTTTTGATTTATTTTAGTTAGGTTTTTCTTTTATCCTTCTCCTTTTTATCACTTATATTTTAGGTCTTTTAATTTTTCCTTTAAAAAACAAATAAAAAAGAGAAAAAATTAACTAACTTTTATTTTTTCTAAATCTTGTTTCTAATCTTCTTTTGGATATATAAAAATAAAGATTTTTTTTTGCTTTAGTGTATGCAAGTTTGGATTATGGATAATACACCAATCATTTAATCCTTACTAAACTAATTTTTGAGACTAATAAATGGAAAATTTAAATGCAACAGTTCTTCAAGACATGTGTTATCCAATTAGGAATGTAATCACATCTTGTATTAGGCTCTTGCTATTAATGGAGTTAATTTTGAGCTTAGATGTCATTGCATAAATATGCTTCAAGTATTCTTAGAAAATAAATTTGAAATTGCATTCATTTTTATATCTAAGTTTATGAAAGTTTTTCTTTTGGTTAAGATTAGAGAGTTATCTGAGGACACAATTAAACTTAGATTTATCCTAGTTTCTCTTAAGGACAAAACCAGAAAATGATTGTATACCTTACCCACAAATGTAGGATCTAACCAAATACACACTAAAC